GAGGGCGGGAATCGACTGTGCATACCTACAGGCAGAGGAAGAACAAAAGTCCTGTCCATTTGCAGCTGGGAGGTAGGTAGCCTGGGGCAAGTTCTCATGATGGTGTGAGATTGGCCCTTGGGATTCCTTGGGAGCTGGGTGAGGCCTGTGACTGCTGGCTTTCCCCTACTTCCCTGACAACCTGCATGACTCAGCAGAGGTGGCTATAATCTACCTAGGTACACAACTCCATTAACCTGGGAACTTCACTCCCATCCCCCACAGCAGCCACAACAAGACCCACCCAAGGAGGGTGTCTGAGGTCAGACCTGCCTAGCCCTGTCCCACCTGATGGCCCTTCCCTACTCAAACTGGTAGCTGAAGACAAAGGCGATATACTCTTGTGAGTTTTAGGGCCCTGCCCACCTCCAGTTCGTCTCCATACTACCACAGCTGATGCTCTCTGGAAATCACCACCTCTGGGCAAGAGGTCAACCAGCACGAAAATAGAACATTAAACCACCAAAGGTAAGAATCCTCACAGAGCCCATTTCACACCCCCGACCCCAGCCACCTCCACCGGAACAGGTGCTGGTATCCACAGCTGAGAGACCCATAGATGGTTCACATCACAGGACTCTGTGCAGATAACCCCCAGTACCAGACCAGAGCCAGGTAGACTAGCTGGGTGACTAGACCCAGAAGAGACAACAATCATTGCAGCTTGGCTCTCAGGAAGTCACATCCATAGGAAAAGGGGGAGAGTACTACATCAAGAGAACACCCCGTGGGACAAAACCATCTCAGCCGTCAGACCTTCCCTCTGACAGAGCCTACCCAAATGAGAAGGAACCAGAAAACTGACTCTGGTAATATGACAAAACAAGACTCTTTAACACCCCCCCAAAATCACACTAGCTCACCAGCATTGAATCCAAACCAAGAAGAAATCCCTAATTTACCTGAAAAAGAATTAAGGAAGTTGGTTATTAAGCTAATCAGGGAGGCACCAGAGAAAGGCGAAGCCCAATGCAAGGAAGTCCAAAAAAGATACAAGAAGTGAAAGGAGAAATATTCAACAAATATTCAAATATTCAATCTCAAATTGAGATTCAGAGAAGGTAAGTGACTTAGTCATGAAAATTTGGCTAGTAATTAGCAAAATGTAAGTTAAAATGTAGGTTCCAAGCCCACAATTTTCTCCCCTTGTGTAAGGTTATGGATTCTTAATCCTATCTATCCTTCAAGATTCTTTTTCAATTTACCAGCACTGCCCAATCACTGAAGATTCCTTCCTCCCCTGAACTCCTGCTAATCTCATTGGCCATTTATTTTTGCTCTCATTGACAATGTACTTTGTGACATTACATAATATTCTATATGCATATTTCCTGGCTACTCAACTGTACCACAAGCTTCTTGAGGTTTCTGTATATCTCCTATATTCTTTGTAGGCCTCTGATGAAGAGATCATGTTTTATTTTGTATTTGTTTGTAGCTGCTTGATATCCTTTTACCTGCTCCTAACCTTTGGTATCCCTGTCTTTGGTAATGGCACCCTTTAGGGCATAACCAAACTTCCATGGCAGGTAGTTTTGGTAGCACTGTCAATCAAGGTTCTTTGTTCTCCCTTGAATACATGGTGTTATTATAATCCGCACTGGGCTCAATAGGCTCTCTTCATAATTTGAATTTGAATCAAACATAGGGAAAGGAGAAGGAAAATGGCTGGAGCCGATACATCATAAAGGCAACATCCTAGAAGGACTTTTCATTCATTTCTGCTACCTGAATTCTCAAAGCTGTCACAGTTGCTGTTCTTTTAAAGGCCAAGTTCCTTAGTCTTTCCTCAGTTTCTGGATGAGTTACTTCATATCCTTCCAGTAATTTTCACTTTTTGCTTGAATCAGGCAGAGTCACTTTCTGTTACTTGCAAACAAAGACTCTTATTTGATAAACCCACAAAGCTTAGTATATAGGGAATGCTAAGTATTTTTAAATGTTTTGTCCTTATGCAGATTATATTTGCTATTTCATATTGGGAAAAAAACGGCCTTGAAGTGTAGCATTTCTGTTGGTTAGAATTTTAATAACCAACAGGCTAAGATAACATTGGGAGCTCATCTTCATTGAAATAAATTTTATTACAGTTCAGCACACTGGTTTGGTGACTCACAAAGTGATAATGCACTGCTACCAATTAACAAAGCATTTTGTGGTGAGGGTAGTACTTAAAATAATGATACCCTTTAGTGTTGACATTTTGGTTAACCCATCTGTTTTCCTTTTCTTCCCAAATGCTATAGCAGCCAACTGTGACCATCTGAAATTTTTATATTACCTTACTATTCAAGATATATCTGATACATTTAACCATGCATAACATGCCTCCTTTTTACCTAGGTGAATATTTTAACATACTCTATAGCTTCTTGTTAAAAGCCTTGGATTACAATTTTAAAATCACTGAGAAAGGAAATTATCACTAGAAAAATTTAGAAGAGTAAATGGTATCATTTTTAGAGCATAATCAGTGTTCTATGAGGGAAATTCCCCTTGCTGTTTTCTTTAAGAAAGCAATCACTAAGAAAAATCAACCAAGTAATCTTTCATAATACAACTGAAATTAAACAGCAATTCTAGCTAATCATACATCAGTAGTTAGTTAATTCTATTTCCAACAGAATACAGACCTAAGCTAACTCTTTCTATGTGCTTCTGAAAATTTCTGTCATTTTAGACATTTACATCTACTCACGAGCCTTTGTATTCCAGGAACATCCTTTCAATTCTAGACATTATGGGAATATCATGCATGTAGATAATATTTCCCTTTCTAAATGACAAGTGTTTTCCTAGAAATTTCCCAGAAGATAAAAATCTTACTGAAAAACGGGGGGTGGCGTAGGGGGCAAATTTTAAAACCTTCACTCCTTTCACTTTTGGAATACCTATTGCTACATGATAGTATTTCCCACAAGATTATTTTTTATTTTATTTGAAGTTGGCAAAAATCTTTGTGCTGAATCCTTTGAGCATACCTCTAGTGATAGATGTCAGATCAGCGTTGTGTGGAAGAACTTTTATTTGACAGGTAGATGACAGAAAGAGAAGCCTTTCTCCAAAACATAAGATGTAACTGTAAAATCCTTCTGTGAGATTAATGTAATCTTTTCTTCCTATGTGTAAATGACTTATTCATTCTTGCTTCAAAGAAATCAGTTCATGCAATTAATTTGAATAGTGTGAAATTAAGACACTTTTAAAGTATATATTTCCTCAAATTAGAATGGCTCATTTAAAATATTTTTATATGAATTAAATGTAAAATAGATATCTAATACAAATTTCTAATGATATTTTCTTTTAACTTATAATCTTTTTACAATTGTCAAGCAAGAACACTTTTAGATTTACTCACTGTGCATAGAGCATACATTCTAGCCAAGTAGCACCATGGTAAAGAGATGACTCTATTAACACTGGGTATATGGTATGCAATACAATGCTAAAGTCCTAAATACTGTATTTTATTCTACAAATCTGGCCTGATTTAGTACAGTTTATTACAAGCATTTCCTTATTCCATCTGGCATTATGAAATGATTTTACATGTCCCCAAATATCACAAGAGGTGGGGGCAAAAATGTTTTCTTCCCAAAATCTAGCATTTCCAGATAATCTTCCCTATTTTCCCTGTTCTCTTTCCTAACAGCCCTCAAAAATATATCAGGAGAAAACAGATACTCACAATTCTATTGTATATCCTATTATCTATAAATGTTATAACTTTATGTCTATTTGGGTTAGAACTACCAAGATAAAATCATTTTTGATACATAACAAAGTGCTAGTCAATGTATATGTAATACACATCAGTTTGATGCATGAATAGAAAAGAAATTCATATCCATTGCTAGATTGGGGATTCTCATTATAATATACTTCAAGAACTAACCAAAGTTCTGCAATAGTTTCAGATGTGAGAGGAAAAAAAGTGAAAGAATGGTGATATTTCAAAGATAGATTGATTGTTTTCAGATTTATTTTCATCTCTAGCTTTCTTACAGGCCTTCACCTCAGTCTGTTCAGGCTTCTATAACAGACAGATTTCTTTTTCGTGAATAAGGTGGTTTGCTCTAGCCTAAAAATGGACATACACAAGCCCTTTTGGACTTCTCTGTTTCTTTGTTTGCTTTTCATAAGAATTAAGTCTCGAACATATTATTATTAAATGGTCCAATCAAAACAAGATGATTATCATTCAATTTTCTTTTTTACCTCTTAGTTAATGCACTAGATACCAGGGTACAATACTACTTGACATTGAAGAGTATTATTATCTTAAAAATTTCTAGCTATTTACCTCATTAAATTTAGTTTCTCAGATACTTTCTAGAAAGACATAAGTAATAATGTAAATGAAATACAATACTGTATCTATTTTATTTTATTTTTTGAGACAGAGTTCCGCTGTGTGGGCTCGGCTGTAGTACCGTGGCATGATCTTGGCTCACTGCAGCCCCCAACTCCCAGGTTCAAGATATTCTCCTGCCTTAGCCTCCTGAGTAGCTGGGATTACAGGCACCCATCAACACACTCGGCTACTTTTTGTATTTTTAGTCGAGATGGGGTTTCACCATATTAGCCAGGCCGGGTCTCAAACTCCCGACCCCCTGCCTCGGCCTCCCAAAGTGCTGAGATTAGAGGCATGAGTGAGCATGCCTGGCCAATACTGCATCTATTTTATAAAAGTAAAATTTTTTTGTCTATAAACTTCAGCAAAATATAATCAGCAAGTGCTAAGTAATATGTTCCAAAATAATTTTTAAGTCTTTTAGATTTTACTAAGATTTTAAAAATTTATTTGTTTGAATTCAGGTGTAATTCACATCCCAGAAAATTCACCCTTTTTAAGCATACAATTTTATGGTTTATGCACTATTGCTATTTGCAGTATCCTCTTTCATAGACAAGAAGATTACTCTTGTTAATATTAGCATTATAAAATGTCATCTTACCTTACAAAGGAAATTGATCTTAAAACCCAAAGACTGGGCATTTCTTGAGCCTGAGTTCATGTAGTTTCCAACAAGAAGAACTAACTCTAAAAGTCTGTTAAAGCTTTCACTTTTCTTCAGTTCTTCACAGGCAAGAGTTACTGCTATGATGCTTGGTTTGATGTTGTTTACGTGTTCTTCAAATGTGAGCTTGAACAGGATACTACTGAGACGAGGCTGTAACATTTTTACGGAGCTCATCTGAAAGATAGGAAATACTCTATGAGAATACACATTTAATGCCTCTTATTTTATCTCTTTAGTGGGGATAATTTCACAGACAACACTGTAACATTTCTGCATAAAGTGAATTTGGTCTGGGAATTTAAAAATACTTTGTTTTAAACATTCTAGAGAAATATTTTATCAAAGTTTCAAAAGCAGTTGGCTGTACAGGTTTTTTAAAAAATAAAATCATCCTTATAGCATTAATAAAATATTATTGTAGATGAACAGTTGCTATATGTTAATTGCATAATCATTAGCCATCAATAGCATTCAAATGGCCAAAATCTGTCTCTGAGGTTAGCTAAAAAAATTTATAAACATTAAATTAAGTTGAGTGAATAGTTCGGCCATGGATAAAAGATGTACGTGATGACAGAAAATATAGTGGGAACATTTCCTAAGAAATTACCTATTACTATGCTGTTTGAAATCAGAAGACTAGCTCTGATTGAGCATTTAATAATTTTTAAACTTATTATTTCTATTAATAAAATATATTATTTATATATACTCTAAAGAATTTCACTTACTTGACAGATGATGATGTTAAGTAATTAGGTGCTAGTAAAATCACATGAACTTACTTTCAAGTACATTATGGAAGAATTCTATATAGTTCAACTTTGGTTTTAATTACTTGTTTTATAACATTAGTGAACATTAAATATTCCACTTGGTATAGTTACTATGATAATAATTTTTAGTTTTTAATGTCCTATAGCTCCAAGTCACTCAAGTAGTTTTCCTTCACAAAATAAAATCTGGGAAGGAGGTTGGGGGAGAAGGTAGACACACATGAACATACACATAGATACATACACACAATGAAAAGCAATTATTAACAATCCTAATTATATTTGTTTTTGTATGTATAGCCTACTTCCTTAATTACAAATGCCAAGTAAAGATTAGAATCCAGGGTACCTGTAAAAAACATGAAGAGATTTGACAACATAAAAAAAAGTTTTTAAACCACAAAATACCTTTGAAAAGCAGCAGATGAGCTGTTGTGCAGACCATATCTCCTCTAATACAGAATCAAGACATAGTCCATTGTTTGTTTTCTACAAATTTGCCCATTAACCATGAACATCAGCTTCCCCAAATATGAACTTCTTCCTTCTACTAACCCTCCAATATGCATGCTTTTCACATGCAGATATACAGCAGTATGATGAAATATCTACCTGTTACTATATTTTTGTAGGTCTCACCACTTATGACTAACTTTTATCTGGTCAAGGTATTATTGTACAAATCATCCTCCTATTTCTTCAGTACTCAGACGGCAGGTATAAAACACCTATTCACAAAAAGCTTACAATATAGTCAGAAACTCAACATAGACCTTTGAAAACTATAGCTGGTGAAAAAGCCAGCATATGATTTCAGATAAGTAAAAAAAATTAAGTTCTGGAGGTGTTCACTGGAAGAAGAAAAAAACTTTAAATTCTTATGATTATAGTGTTTCATTAAGGCTTCACAGCAGAGGAAATACAAATGAAAAAATGTATGTATAGGTGTGTACATGCATGTATAAATTTAAGCACACACAGAACTGATATGAAAAGGAAGAAGTGGCCAGGCGCGGTGGCTCAGTCATGTAATCCCAGCACTTTGCGAGGCAGAGGCAGGATGATCACTTGAGGTCAGGAGTTTGAGACCAATGTGGCCAACATGGTGAAACCCTGTCTCTACTAAAAATATAAAAATTAGCCAGGCATGGTGGTGCTGCAGTGCCTGTAATCCCAGCTACCCAGAAGGCTGAGGCAGGAGAATCGCTTGAGCCTGGTAGGCAGAGGTTGCAGTGAGCCGAGACTGCGCCACTTTACTCCAGCCTGGGCAACAGAGTGAGACCCTGTCTCAAAAAAACAAAAAGGGAAGTAGAGAGTGAGAGAATGGTGTGAGAAAAGGTTTATGGGCTAGGTATATATGACTTATATACCTAGGGGCACAACTTGAAACAAAGTACCTAAAGAGTCCAGGTAAAGGCCACAGAAGTGGAAGCTAATCACATTAAAGTCTATGTCTCCATGAATTTGCAGGTCTCTTTGTGTATGTCTGTGTGGGAATCACTCTGAGTTTCTCTATAGATTTTTCTGCCTTCATTTCTGCCTCTACCTCTGTCTCCAAATCCCTCCCCACTTTATTTTTCCTTTCCTTTTACTGTTAACTGACCATCACTAGCACTGAAGCACGTTTTCTATCATTTTATGTTTAGGGAGTAGTTTTTTTAGTCCCCCGATGAGTAAAAAAGCCATAGAGCTATGTTTAGCAGCTGCTAGTGACCATCTACTTGCTCTCCTGGCCATACTTTGCAGAGCTTATAGGGGCCCTGTTCATCAGGGTACTCTTGGTCCCAGATGGACAAGGAACAAAACCCTTAGGGATATGTGGGCTTTTAGTCTTCTTCAGTTCCAATATCATGGGTCTTCAATTATATTCTTTTCCTTTCCAGGTTTTGTATTGGCCTGCAATGTTTGGCCTACAAACTAAGAGAACATGGATTTGATCTTTTTATAAAAATATCAGCTCCAATTGAAATAACATGACCAAAGTATGCTTTGATAATGATGGTAACAATGATAATAGCAATTAACATTTATTAAGTACTTCGTGCCAGACATTTTTCAACATTTTCCTTATATATTTATTAACTGATTTGATTCTCAAAACAATCCTAGGAGAAGGTTATCATTATTTTCATTCCAAAGATGAGAAAAGTAAAACAGAAATATTATGTAACTTGCACAAAATCAAATTGTATGTTAGAAACCCGAGGATTTGAACACAGGCCTTTGGGCTACAGATCCCAGACTCTCCATCGCTATCCCACACTGACTTTTGAGTCTTATTAGGAGCGGTAACTATGATTGGTTGAAGGAGAGATTAATGGCAGGGAAATCATCAGTAAGTTAGCAAAATGGTGCAAGAAACAGGTAATGAGGTAGCATGACGACAATAAGAGGAGGAAGAAAACCAAGGATATAAAAGATAGAATTAAGGAAGAATCAATGGAGAGTTATAGCAGAAGAAAGTCATAGATGGCTCCAAAGTTTGAAGTCTGTTGTGAAGCATAACAATGTTGGCAATAATGAAGGTAGGAGGTGCTAATTTGGTACAGTTTGTCACTTGGTTGTTTGCTTGTTTCAGGGAATGAGAATAGATGGATTTGGTTTCCTTGATTTGCTGCTACTTAGATTCCAGTAAGCCAATCAGGAACTAAGGCAGCAAGGGCAGGTAGGTGTAGCTTAGTAGCAACTTCAATCAATTAAGACTGAATTTAGAAACTGTCATGTGATCTGACTGTGTGAAAACTGTCTGCCTAAATTTCTGGTCTTATGTTTCCCTGTCGTAAAGTGGCAGAAATTCCTGTAAAGTGGTCTTGTTTTGATAAAAAGAAGGCAGTCAGAATAAATGATTCATAACATTTACTTTCTTCTTTTTTAGGCTCTGCCTCTATAGCTTTGAGAAGGTAGAGTAAAAAGTACTAGCTCCATAAAGGAAAAGCATTTCCTGGCTGCTACCAACAATTTTTATTAGCATTTACGTAAATTCAGTTGCCCATCTTCTCAGACACCAAATAGGGCATCTTACTTTTAACCATGATACTCTTATTTTCCCATTCATGACTCCAAATGTTGAAGTGATGTTCAAATCATAGTAAATACGATGTTATTTATAATAATACCAATCTTTACCAATATTTTAAACTAGAATTTCTGAGAGTTGGCCCTTATTTTCCTTGCTCACCATATAGAAACACATAATTTTGTGTACTTCAAGTCTGGATTACTAACATAGACTAAATGTTCTCCTTGATCCCTCTCAAATCCTCTTAAAAATAGTAAACTGATAACCTACATGATAGGGAAATAATAAAATTGCTTCCTTGACATGTTGAGTTTTTTGTATTATTGTGATATCTGCTAGCATTTGAACGTATAGTTCAAGGAGTTAGAAGTATTGGAGTTGACAAATTTGGGAGTTATCTGAATAAATGCTATGAAAGGTAAGGTCACTGATGAGGAGACTGCATGGAGGAAAAAAAGGAGAAAGGAGTCAAAAACTGCATCTTGTGGAGGACACAGCAAAGAGTCTTGAGTATATCAGACATTCAAATACGTGCTGATTGATTTTTAAAGCACTTCTTAGCTGACTCACCATTTTCCAGATCTTTCCCCAAGTAAGACAATTATATATTCAACACAATTAATAGCTGATAGTAATATTTTACTTCCACAAAATAATGTCTTCAGTTATAATGTCAAACCAGAAACGTTAGGGAATTAACTTTGTTGAACCGCAATTACTAGATATTAATCTATCATCAGTCAGCCTGCTTTTAGGAAGAAGTTTTATACTGTAAGGGGTTCAAAGTTGCCCTTTGATCTGGCAAAAATTCTTCATTGAATGGCTTCATTCATATAAATAGGAAATATAATATTCAGTAAAATGCTAGGTCAAGAAGAAGATGCATAGTTTCAAGAGGTATAACAGAAGGCTGATGTGGGGAAGGAGGAAGTGCCTTATTTAAGGTAATTCATAAGCTTCCAGGTAGGTCACCCCAACAATAATGCCAAGGCCCAATCTTAGCCCAAATTCAGAACCCCATACAGCTTTTTTTAAAAAGAATAGGATTTAGGAGAATTTTTTTCTCTAAACGCAGGAAAGAAGGGGAAACAACCATCTGCATTCTCCAGACCCATACTGTAAGTTGCAGTATAAGAAACAGGGATACTGGAGTTACACAGACCTAGGTTTGAACCACACTTCTGTCAATTTATTTATTTTTTTTGAGATAGGGTCTCACTTTGTCACCCAAGCTGAAGTGCTGTCTGGTGATCACAGCTCACAGGAAACTTGACTTCCCAGGGCTCAGGCAGTCTTCCCACCTTAGCCTCCTGAGTATCTAGAACAGGTACATGCCACCATGCCTGGCTAAGTTTTGTATTTTTTTTTTTTTTTTTTTT